TTCTTCAACCCCAGGTACGGGGTGTTGGTCTCGCTGTGGATGTTCCTGGTCCTGTTCCCCCACTCATCCATGTCCGGGTCCTTGTCGTCGTCTTCTTCTTGCGTCAGGCTCTCGTACTGGTAGGTGTCTCCCTCGCTCACCTCCCCCAGCCTGCACAGCGACTGCGCCCTCTTCCTGGCCGAGGGGCTGCTCTTCCTCAGAGAGTTGGAGCTGGTCACGGACAGGCGGCTCATGTCGTTGATCATAGCGGTCATGTAGTCCCCGTGACCGATCATGGTCCCTCGTACGATAGTCTGAAAGAGCAGAGGCAGTTTCTTTCCTTTATCAAACCGCGCACGCCTCAATCTCACTGCAGAAAGATTCCGACTGACAGCAGTAACGAGGCCGGCGTGATCACCGCTCTGAGGCCAGTTAAATTTAGACTAGAGATCGAGTAAGCAACACAATCGTCAACCGCCTTCAAAGACGCCACGCGACTTTCGCCGGTGGCTTCAACTCTAACGACGCGCTGACAAATATAGCGGGTAAATGTTTACAAAGACAGAAGCACAACAAATGTTGCTTTGTTGCTGATTTGGGCGACGACGACTGAGCGTTCCTGTGACATTTCAGGTGACGTGCCATCATCACCTGCCAAGCGCAGGCAACGGAGAAGCTAAAAATTGCCTGGATGAGAAAATATAGCAGAATTGTGTCAGAGAAGTGAGTATAAAAACAGGAGTGGGCGGCGGTTCGCTGCTCAGTATCACAGTGGAGTCATTGTCAGTTCACAGTCAGGCGACAACCTCTCCGGTTTCTCTCCCGTTACATATCTGCACCGCGGTGAGAGGTCAGATGACATATCACTGACGGCAGCACTTCTCAGAGAGGAGGGAACGCGCCGTGGTCAGATGTGACGTTTGGGAAAATGTCTTCCAATATATATTTTTTTAATCGTGACTTTCAGAGGTACTTTTTCAGCCTTTTTTCTTTCGTCAGCAGAACGTCTCATCCTGACTGAGCAATAAACGCCATAAGTCTGATCAGAACGCTGACAGGATGCAGTGCAGCTCCGATCACAGCACAGCGTTAATGAAACGCTGCCTGAGTGTCACTGTGCTTTTTCCACCGCGGCCTCGTAAACAGCAGCAGGAAGGTGTTCTCTCTGCTGTTCCTGCAGCTTTTTATCTTTTCTGTTGGACATGTGTAGAAAGTGAACGCCGACTGTTATTAATTGCCCGCGTGGAGTAATAAATCTTGTGGCCCCCGGTGTGTATTCACTATTGTGGAGTCAGTGTACACAGCAGGGTCATTAACGAGGCCCCAGGATGGATAAGAAAATAAAAGTGTCGGAGATGGCGGCCCGCCGTCTTTCCACGGTGTCAGCGGAGGATCGTGTTCGGAAACAGCAGGATCGGCAAACAGTAGTACTGCGTTAATACTAATACTGTGGATTTGAAGGTACTTTTTAAAAACGTACGCTGAGTGTGAATACTTCGTGGACGATCTACTGATCTGTGACACAGGGTTTCAACATGACTAGTAGTCTGTGAACTAGTATCGAGTCCCTGGTGTCGATGAACTGATACTAATGGATCATAATTAATAAACCAAAAATGTACATTTGTCACTTCCACATATTTTAGAGTAATTTATTATTGAATTAATTTTGCTGATATCCAATTTGCCCATATTTTCCAACTACTTAATTTCCGATTCCGATATCAACCGATAACGACGTATGCGGCCGTTTGGGTTAAAGGCAGAAGATACGTTTCACTTTCACTTTCAGTTCAAAACTATTTTTAGGTTACGTCGTTTATTCAAAACCCAGGTATTGTGTTTTCATTACGGGAGGAAACAATAACGATTTTTCACAGCATAATTACATAATTATGCTAATATCGGCCCGTAGTATCGGTTAGCCGATGTTATCGGACCTCCCCATTTAGGTTACATCGTGTTAAAATAAAGCAATGTTTTGATTAATATGCTATGAAAACTACATGTTAAATTTGGATTGGTCAGAATTTGTCATGTGTTTTAATCAAGTATCAGTATCGTATCGACTCAAAAGTTCTGTTGTCACCCATCATTACTGTGAAGCAGTCGTGGAAAAGATTTTCCAGGCCTGATTTTGACCTTTGACACCAGTGGATGAACTCATACCTTCTTTGGCCTCAGCTCCACCTCTGTGATCCTGGAAGGATCCACCATAGGTCTGGGTCTGCGTAGGTTCTCGATCAAACTTTGCCATTGCATTGGAAGACCCACGAAGCAGCCGCGCTTGGAATCGAACGAGGTGTGCACGCGGTGCTCAAAGTTCTTCGGCGCTGATATGTCAGGCCTCTTCTTTTTCTTCTTCCGAAACATCCTCAGGTCCTGGTGGACAGCAGCCTTCCAACTTCAAAATGTCCCTGTAGAAAACAAAACAAACCACTCGTTAATAATGGAGCCTTAGCTGAAGCACGGGTTACTCAGTGTTAGCTTGACATTTGAAAATCAACAAAATCTCCAAGGATGACGGAGGAGCGCGGCTGCTGCAGCCAAGCCCCGACAACAGATGTTGTCCGAGACGCGAGGCAATTTATTCAAACGCAACATTGATGCAACGTCTTCGTTTACACCGTCCTGCAGCTCGTCACAAGTTCGTGCCTCGGAGAAATCTGTTCTGAGGTCAGTCGACGTATTTGTAATGTAATCAGAGATATGAAATCAAAATAAGGCTTTTTTTCACGTGGCTGGACCGAACAGCGCCCTGTGGGCGTAGCAGGATGAGGACATCACACAGACACACACACACTCATGTACACAGTCATATACACACACACACACACACACTCACACCCCGGTCCTTCTAATATATTGCCTAATACACTCCGGCCCGCTCTCCTCCAGGAGCACTTCCTAACCCGTCGATATCCCGGCGTTAATGTGGTTGTTGCTCTTCCCTACGTTAGGGGTCTCAAACCCAAACGACCTCAGCGTCCCCGTGGCACATCATTGAGATTTAAACCCACAACCCCTGGTTTTTCAAGGACAGTGCTGTTATTCCTGAGCTGTGGCGCCTCTGACCGATGGTACTTTATCTCTCGAGCGGTCGATTCCCATATAATACAATAAGTTATTGATTCTCAAAAGGTGGATCATGGGCCAAAGGTGGGTCAGATGCCCAAGCAAACACGACCCTTATATAAATATAAATACACATATGTATATGTATATATACATTTATGCATGTATGTGTATATATGGACTGTATATGTATATGAAAAATATATATTTACATATATATGTATATATATAAATATATGTATAAATATTTGTAATATATATCAGCTACACCTTATATCTATAGGTATCATTTTGAAAAAAAATATTTGCGACAAATATACAAATATATATACAGTATATTTACATATATGTATATATAAATATGTATACATATTTCTAATATAAATATCAGATAAATCTTTATATATTTTTATATATATATATCTATATATATTTAGATATATGTTTGGAAAAAAAATAGTTTGCGACAAAAAAATATACATATATATTTCAGTACTAGTAAAGTTATCATCAATTAAGAAGCCAAGTACAATTGATAACTCAGCTTTAATTTTCACGTCACAGATTCTTCTAAATTTAACAATCCCACATTTTTTCTTATATTCAACACCACCTTAAATATCTTCTTTGTCGTTCTAGAACTTTACCTCCTTTAACAACCTTTAAAGACCAGGAACAACCAGCAAAAGATTGTGCCACAGATAATGAACTTGAAAGTAATCCTCGTGACTTTGGTGGTCACATGGTTACAGCACACACACACACACACACACACACACACAGTACCTCAGGGTGTGACTGGTTCTTGCAACTTTAATGTCAGTCTCCTCCACACTTCACTGAGTCTCAAATGTACCACAACATGTCGCAGCAACAAACACACGTACGGAAATATAATGTCTTTGTAAACAGGGGAGTTACTGTGTACTCCAGGGTATTTACTCTCTGTGTTTACTTACAAGTGAATCAATCCACCAACAAATAACGCGTGAAAGTCACATTTTGTAAGTTTACAGTAAACGATTTTAAGGAGGAACAAAAAAAATGATTTTTAAATTTTAACTGATAATATTTACAGTTGCCTAAGTCCATACAGGTTTATTAATTAAAATGTGTGTTTTTTTAAGCCCCTGAAGGGTCGATGTTTCTGCAATTGATTGTTATTTATTAAAGTCACAGAAATTGTGTATAATTGTGTAAAAAAAAAAAAAAAAGGGCTCGCAGGGACCTTAAAAAATGAATTGGCGGGCCACATTTGGCCCCCGGGCCTTGAGTTTGACACATGCGTGCACTATAGTCAATAGAAAAAGTCAATGTTTTTATCTGTAGGTTGGCTTCATTAGGTGAATACAAACTTAAGACTCGCGTGCGCAATCATTGAGTTAAACTGTGTCTTTCTTCAACTCCTGCGATCCCCGGGCCTTGAGTTTGACACATGCGTGCACTATAGCTAATAGAAAAAGTCAATGTTTTTATCTGTAGGTTGTAGGCTTCATTAGGTGAATACAAACTTAAGACTTAAGACTGTGTCTTTCTTCAACTCCTGCGATGATATCAGGGTTGTGTTCAACTAAACAGGCCCACATACTTTTTGTAACGTTATTGTTTGATGGTGCACCATGGGATTTTTCCAACCTTCGAACCCTTATTGAACCCTTTATTACCGATTCATTAGGTGAATACAAACTTAAGACTTAAGACTGTGTCTTTCTTCAACTCCTGCGACGATATCAGGGTTGTGTTCAACTAAACAGGCCCACATACTTTTTGTAACGTTATTGTTTGATAGTGCACCATGGGATTTTTCCAACCTTTACCCTTATTGAACCCTTTAATACCGACTGCGCCTCATCTGCCCTCTAAATTGGAAATCTTTTTAAGGTAGGTCATACAAGGTTAAACATGTCAGCCTACCTTAAAACAAACACAAGTCGCTCGTCTCCGACAGGATAACACCCGATATCCGACCGGTCGGACCTCAAACTGTTGTTTCTTACATGAAAATAGATCCAGGTCGTTTAATGTTCTCCTCAACTTCTAGACTTCGACAGGACAAAGAATTCTCACATGTTTGGCCAAAAAAATTTACAGAAATATTTACAGCATCTTGTAGACTTCACACCTTGAAAAAAACAAACAAACTGAGGTTCCGTCAACGACGTCAACGGCGGGTGTAACGCAGTACTACTCTGATGTGAATCACTGATGGGTTTCACTGATTCATCAACACAGGTCTCGGCTCTATATAGAACACGGATGCAAAACTCAATTGCCTGCCACGCATGTGGTCAATGCACTGGCCCGCAGTAGGTCCTGTCGATAACAGATCTCCAATCATGAACGAACTGTGAGCTGGTGGGAGTTGAGGAAATGGGTTCTGCGGGCATCGGCAGCCCAGTGGGACATCACACCACCAGCCGTCTCCGCTCCCTCTCCCTCCACCCCCGCCCTCGGCCCGGCCCGGCTCTGATCAGCAGCAGTGATGCCTGTTATGAGGGGTGTCGTGACTAAACCGTGTCACTCGTCTCGCTACATCACCAGAGGCTAAAAGGAGGTCACGCCCACTGGTCACATCAGCTAAACCTGGCTCTTCATGTGAGGGCGGGGACGGGATGAGAAGCAAAGGGAGAGAGGAACTGTCAGGACGGGGAAGGGGGAGGGGTGGGATCACTGCTGAGAGAGATGTCACCCTGGGGGGGGGGGGGTCTATTTGAAGTTTCTTGATACAAATACAGAGATTTTAAAATAACTACGACATAGACAATTTTTGAAGGTTTCTGTCGTCTTTTTTTTTTTTTTTGTGACAACCTACATCCAGTCTTATTGCCGTCAGTGGGAAAAGAATTGTTTTTATATTTGATTTGATTACAAATAGTTTAAAGTGATTTCAACCAAAATATTGTCATATATTTGTTCATATATTGTACTGTACATTCTGCACACGAGATTAATCGCAACATATTCATGCAGTTAATCGCAATTAGGGATGTCCGATAATATTGACCGACTGATATTATCGGCCCGATATTAGCATAATTATGTGAGAATCTTTGTCGGTTTTTCCTCCGATAATGAAAATCCAATAATGCAAGCGTTTAGGGCAGTTTTGGAGAAAAACGCTAAATATAACGATATCGGTTGAAATCGGAATCGAAAATGAAGTGCTTGGACAATATCGGCATATCGGATTTTGACAAAAAGTTCATATCGGAAATTGCCTAATCGCAATCCGACCGTGTCGATCCAGCTCAGTAACTGACACATGGCTCACAAACGAAGCTGCAGCTGCACTGACGTGATCTTGATTTTTTTTTTCTTTTTTTTTTTTTTTACTTGAGCAAATATTTACACACGCTTCTGTATCCTTTTACAAGTGGGTGTATCAATATTTACTAGTGACTGAAATGCAAACTGCAGCACATTAACGGGTTGAGACCAGCATGAGTGTGAGCTGCTCTTCAGTGTTCCTCACAGCAGCACAGAACGTAAAACATATCATTACTGTCTATTTGGAATTTATTTTCCACCGCTGACCGCCGCCTCGGAAGATTCTGGAAACATGATTTTCTAAAACCCCCCCACACACACACGAGCCGGCACTCACTCTCACACACACACACACACACAAATGTCAAAATGAGTTGAAAAGTTGACACGAATATTGATGAACGTGCTGTAACAACGTGCGACCCGCTCCACATCGACCTCCCTGACTCTGCCAGGCCGATCAGTATCTTGATAACAATATGCTATTGATTTCTAAGCCAGCCGTATAATGCAAATGCACAAAACTCAATTTGTGAGGCGGGTAATTACACTTTCTGGTCACGTCTGTCAAAACCCCTTCAAGGCCCTGACCCTGAGCTTCTGATGCTTGTCTTGAATCTGTCGAAGAGCTGAGGCAAAATCCAGCTGGCTGCTGTCAGAGCCAATGAGCATGAGGTCATTCAACAGAACTCCGCTACGTTGGGAATTTCCATCTCGGCAACTGTTTGTAGGGGAAGGAAAAATCCAGGATGATCCAACTGCACTTGAAGTCATTGAGAAAAAGAAATCGTCTTTCACAGAAAATCTCAGTGGCAGGCGGCAAGTCTGCGGCAGGAGAGTCGTGACTCGAAGCTAACTAGAGCTAACAGAGCTAACACAAAGCTAACGCAAAGCATGTCAATGTGTTAGAGTGTCATTTCTCTGCAAAGGATTCGATCGAAGTGACGATCCAATCACGGGGCAGCTAACTAGAAAAACGTGAAAATACATAAACAGATTTTTTTTTAAATTTTTAAAAAAAAAATTTTAATTTTAGTGAAAGTCGAAAGTTGAACTCCTTGTCATTGTGACTCTG